TTCAACCTACCCAGCAGTTCCATAGGAAACACGGCTTGGCATCTGCTTCTATCAAGATTATTGCTGTTGTTGTTAGGTGCCATGGAGTCAGTACTAACTTATGGTGACCCTATGCACAAGAGAATGAAACACCGCCTGATCCTGGGCCAGCCTCACAGTTGTTGCCATGCATGAGCCCATTGATGCTGCCACTTTGCCAATCTATCTCGCCGGGGGTCTTCCTCTCTTTCTCTGACCCTCCACCTTATCAAACATGATATACTTCCTCCAGTGACTGGTTCATCCTGACAAAATGTCCAAAGTATGAGAGACGAAGTTTGGGCATCTTAGCCTCCAAGGAGCACTCTGGAAGCACACAGATCTGTTGGTTCTATCCATCAAGATTGTTGTTGTTGTTAAGTGCCGTTGAGTCGGTTCCGACCCATAGTGACCCTGTACAGGGTTTCCGAGGGTATAAATCTTTATGGGAGTAGAAAGCCTCATCTTTCTCCTGCGGAGCGGCTGGTAGTTTCGAACCATTGACCTTAAGGTTTGCAGCCCGATTCATAACCACTACGCTACCAGAGCTCAAGCTCGAAAACCCTATGAAGTAATTCCAATCTGACACATGGGATTACTGTGAGTCAGGGGCTAACTTGACTGGACTTAAAGGCTACTATGGGCAGAGTCCTCATGTGGTGCTGTGGGTTAATGCGCCAGACTGTAAATCCGATTGAACTGCAAGGTTGGTGGTTCAAGCTTACCAGCTTCTCCTCGGAAACCCTGTACAGGGTCGCTATGGGTCAGAACCAACTCGATGGCACTTAACAACAACAACATGTGGCGCTGTGGGCTAATACATCAGACTGCAAAGTCGTTTGAACTGCAGGGTTGGTGGTTCAAGGTCACCAGCTGCTCCTTGGGAACCCAAGGGTCACTATGGGTTGAAATCGACTCGATGGCACTTCACAACAACAACAATAACAATAGCAAACTTCTAGTGTGGTGTTGTAGGATTAGTACTGGACCGTGAACCACAAGGTCAGCAGTTCATACTCACCAGCTACTCCTTGGAAACCCTATCAGGATTGCTATCAGCTGGAACTGACTCTTTGGCACTTAACAACAACAATGATAATAATATTATTTTTATTCATTTGATTACAATTCATTTGGATATATTTCCTATGTCTTTGGTCTGACTAGGAGCCTGGTGGCACAGTGGATTGGGCTGATAACCATAAGGTTAGTGGTTCAAACCCACCAGTCCCTCCGCAGGAGAAAGAAGAGGCAGTGTGTTTCCCTAAACTTCACCACCTTGGAAACGCTATAGAGCAATTCTAGTCTGTCCTATTAGGCCATGGTGAGTCTGTGTTGAGTCCATGGGAGTGGCTTTGGTTTGGGGTTTGGAATGGTCTGTGGTGGATTAACCACCTCTCCAGAGCTTCTGTCTCTTGCACTGTGTTCTCTACACATGAGGTGCTCAAGAGGGATTGGAAAACTGTTATTGTTAAGTGCCATCCAGTGGGTTTCAAGTCACAGTGACCCTGTGGGATTTCTGAGGAGCAGCTGGTGAGTTCAAACTGCTGACCTTGTGGTTTACCGTCCAGTGCAGATCCTACAGCGCCACACCAGAAGGGACTGGAAAACTACATGGCGATTAATTGTACTGTAAGTGGGGCTATCCTCCATGTTCACAGTCGGAGTCCCTTTCTTTGTTGGTGGTGTTGTTGATTCTGACTCCTGGGGAACCCTCGTGGCAGTGTTTTCTGGTGGGTTAATGCGGCAGACTGCAAAACAACAACATCTTTGTTGTTGTTGTTAAGTGCCGTTGAGTCAATTCCAACCCATAGTGACCCTGTGTAGGGTTTCTGAGGAGCAGTTGGTGAACTTGAACCGCTGACCTTGCAGTTCAAGCAACTTGGCAGTCTGTCGCATTAGTCCACAGCGCCACACCGGGACTCCAACAACATCTTTAGGGAAAATCGTTTTCCTGCTGAGCTACTGGGGGTTCGAGCTGCCAACCTTTTCATCAGCAGCCAAACGCATAATCAGTGTCATCAGGCCTTCGCACTCCTGTTTACTTTCATCACCTGATTTCCAAAAGCAAGAAAACTCACTGCTTTCTTGTTTGGAAGACATGCTTTCCCCATCTCCACCGAGCCCCAGTGATGAAAGGGAAAATTTAAGAAACAAGTAAGAGCAAATGTTGATACCCACTGATGTTACAGACTAACTAACTGTCCATCCAGTGCTGGGGTATCAGGTTTAACTTTCCTTCAATTCACCCCCTGCAACGCTCAGTGCTGCCAATGCCCGTATCTCAACTGCTCATCTAACCTTGACTTTCTCAGCCTGCAGTGATTTCAATATTTCTTACCTTGATTGCTTAATTAAATCTGGACATGGTTCACAGGACAGAAAGAGCCCCATGCAGTTAACGTAATGAGAGTTTTTGAAGTTTTAACTCTAGCAGACTATTAAAAATACAATTATGACTTCACTGAAAACTTCACAAAGAAGAGGCGCAATTTTCTAGGCACTGACAAAGTCAGTCAATCATTACCTGTAATGATGAATGGATCAGGGATGGGGCATGAAGCTTTCCTTTGCCAGGCATCAGTTCACATGCAGCCCAAGTCTTCAGTGCCTCTGAGGGATCCCACACAATGCAGGCAGGCACACGTATGCATGCATATCCCATGGGTGCACACACATGTACTCATATGTACACATATTCACATGAGCACAATACTCCACAAGTGCATGCACACATACATACATATGAACATGCATATGCATATCTCCACATATGGATATATACTCCACATGGGTACATGCCTGTTTGTGTAATATGTAACACACACCCACACATGCACATCCATGCAACATGCTATGCAAATGCATATATGCACCTAAATATACAAGCATGTCCACACATGCACACACACTCATGCTTCTTATATTGATGATCTGAGCAGGTCTGGGTGACATACATTTCTGACCTCTGCCCATTTTCTAGTAGGGGATCTATGGAGAGCTCAGCTTTGCAAAACACCAAATGACATTGCCTTTGTTTTCCTCTGGATAGTATAGACAGAATAAAAGCAAAAGAAAAAAGGAAAAAAAGAATACCTTCTCTAGGAGAAATGTCTGGACAGCTGCAGGACTACAGGGCAAATCCTGGAGGACCATTGCTGACCTCATCCAATTGAGGTCATACCTGCAGCAGGTGGGGCCCCTCAATTGTTCAATAAACTATGGTTACGAGTAAATTTACTGTCATGGACTGAAATGTGTCCCCCCAAAATATGTGTCAGCATAGCTGGACCATGATTCTCAGTGGTTTGACAGGTATGATGATCTCCCACGATGCGACCTTACAGGGTATATGAATAAGGGGATGAAAAGTGGGATATTGTTGTTATTAAGTGCCGAGTCAGTTCCAGTTCAGAGCGACCCTGGATAGGGGTTTCCAGAAGTGGCTGGTGGGTTTGAAACCCTGACCTTGTGGTTAGCAATCCAATGCTTATCCTACCAGCACCACACCAGGGCTCAATCCTACCATAACTCTGATCCTGACATACTGGAAATCCCTAAGGGTGTGGTGTGCAATACCTTTTATCTTACAAGAGAAACATGAGTCAAGAAAGCACACTCTACTACCAAGAAAGAAAGGCCAGGGGAGTAGTGAATCCTTTGCTCCTCACGTCCCTGCATTGTGAAAACTCCTAGACTCATGGAATGTTTGATGTCAAGACACATGGAGATGTCCAAGGAGTGCTTGGCTTGCAGATGCTGAAAGGAGACGAGGACCTTTTCCAGATCCCATACTCTGAATTCATTTTCCTAGTCTTCTGGTCTGTGAGAATACATTTGTTTGCTAAAGCAACCCACCTGTGGTGTTTATGTTCTAACAGCACTAGAGAATGAAGAAAGCAGCTTACAGAATTATTAGTCTGAGAAACTTTAAGATGAAGTACATCATAAAGAATGTAAAGACAATGTTCACCCTACAGGGATTGATGTAGGCCTTTCCTGTAAAGGTGCCCATGGTGCACCACCTCCTTCTGGGAGCTGCTTGCATGGGGGTCTTTTTGGTGTTTGCCATCTAGTCCACTCTGACTCAGAGTGACCCTACATGACATGACAGAATAGAATTGCCCCCCAGTGCTGAAATTCCCCAGTTTCCTGGGCTCTAATCTTCATGGGAGCAGATTGTCAGGTTTTTTCTCTCACAGACCTGCTAGGTGGTTCAGAACTGCCAACCTTTCCATTATCAGCTGAGCACTGAACCACAGCACTACCAGGCCTTCTTGGATAGTTGGTGTTAAGTGCCGTTGAGTCGGTTCCTACCCATGGCGACCCTGTCTACGGTTTCCAAGAAGGAGCTGGTGAGCTTAAACTGCCAACCTTGTGGTTCAAAGAGACTTTGCAGTCCAGCCCATTAACCCACAGTGCCACACCAGGACTCTTCTTGGATAGCAGTGTGGCCAACCTGTGCTGATGCCCAGATTCATGCGCCCTGAGGGGATACCTTCATCTCAAGCCCACAACAACCCTGGAGCCACCAGTGGAACACGGAACTAGCTCTACCTGAACCCTTTTTTCAGGACCTTCACTCTTCAAACTCTGCTCAGCGTATGAATCATAAAGCGGCATCTCTACAACTTATTTTAAAATCTAAGAGCAAAGAGGAACTTGAGTAAAGGCATTTAACACATGGGAAGTGTGGTTACTGGCCACTTCTTCAGTCACAGAGAGACCCCAGCAGCAGTGCCCAGGACCACATTCTCCTCATAGGACTGAGGTGCTGAGGGAGCACTGTGCTGATGTGAGAGCAGGACCCCCAGAGAAGAATGGTGCAAACACAGTCTGTGCATACAGAGGCACCACACCCAATGCTGAGTGCAGACCTAAAGGCATCACCATTGAATGCCTGCCAATTCCCTTTACAGACCTGAATTGATAGCTTCTAGGTCAGGTGACTTGTCTCAGTACTCTGACGGAGAGGCACTTACTTGTGTCCAGATTCATGCGCAATGGTGAAGGCCAGTCCAAGACCTGTGTCTTCATTAATCGTACAACTGCGGTATTTGCTACACATTCCACTGATGGGCGCAAATCCTAAAGCGTAGAAAGATTAAATGAATACAATGAAGAAATAAGTATAGGCATGCTCTCTATCCCTTAGAGAATTGGGTTTTCACATTCACCTGGGGAACTATGACCAAGGAAATCCTTGGACAATCCCAGAAGGGACACTTAAGAATAATTTGGGAGAAAAAGGTCTACTCCCTGGAGCCCACGTTACGTGGTAGAATGGTACGTACTATGCCTGTTACAGACTGTAATTGGGGCAAATAGAAGAGTGGAACTACTGTAGATGGAGGCATATTTCTGCTTTTTTCTCAATAACCACCTGTTTTCTGAAAAGCACACAACCCAAACCAGTTGCCGCTGATTCCATTCTGATGTGTGGAGACCCCGTGTGTTACAGGGTAAAACTGTTCCACAGAGATTCCAATGGCTGTGAGCATTTGATATTAGCTCACCAGGGTATTCTTTCAAGGTTTTCTGAGTGAATTTGAACTACCAACCTATTCAATGAACACTTTATATCATTCATCCTCTCAAGAATCCAAATGACAAATGACTATAGAGAATGGACTAACCTCTACTAAACCGGGTCCTATCTGAAAGTTTATGTAGCAAAGACCCTTCCTCCCAAAGTGCCTGGGAGGAAATGAAGAGTTAGAAAGAACGTTCAATAGAGCTCCTGGTCAGTTGCATACCGGGTTTTACATTGACCTTTTGGAAAAATATCAAAGTGTTGCCTCCACGACATACCTAGCCCCATACACATCCAAAATTGTGACTAGACTTTAGTAAACATTTGTGGAAAAGTGGAAACACAAGGAATTGCGTATTGTTGCTTATGGTTACGAATCGGGCTGTGAACCTTAAGGTCAGCGGTTCGAAACTACCAGCCGCTCTGCGGGAGAAAGATGAGGCTTTCTACTCCCGTAAAGATTTACACCCTCGGAAACCCTGTACAGGGTCGCTATGGGTCGGACCCGACTCGATGGCACTTAACAACAACAACAACATAGCTTTGCTTATTGTTGTTGTTGTATTTCTACTCATATGTAATTCTGCCTCATACTGACATATTTTTAAAACTAATTTTCCCATTCACACAAATGGAAGAAGAATGGGAAGAAGCCATTTGTTAAGTTAGAAGAAGACTTAGTTTATAGGGAACTGTCCTTATTAAATAATCCCAATTGATGAATAAATACATACTTGTATCAACAGTAAATGTTTATGTATGGAAGTAAAATTGGTCATTACAACTACACTCAAAACTGGTTGTTGTTGTTGTTGTTAAGTACCGTGGAGCCAGTTCTGACTCAGAGTGGCCCTGTACAGGGTTTCCGAGGTTGCAAATCTTTACGGGAGAAGAAAGCCTCATATTTCTCCCATGGAACTGTCTGTAGTTTAGAACTGTTGACCTCGAGTTTAGCAGCCCAATTTGTAACCACTACATAACCTGAGTTCCAACACTGGGGACAATATTCAACACCATATTTCAGAGAACCTGAGTAGTTCTCCAAACTCTATTTAAGGTGCTTACCCAAAGTATCACAGGGTCCATTCTTCCAGGAGCAGATATCTAGTCCAGTGAGTAAGATGGCATGGTCATGGCGCGTCCCATCTTTTCCCATCAGTCCAGACTGCCACTGGCAGAAACTACTCAAGGTATGGTCAGCGTGGTGCTTTATCACAAGCCCTGGCTACGCAAGAGACAGTGGAAAGAAAATCCTTGTCATCAACTAGCACTGACATTCTCATCACAGCAGACTGTCATCAACTTGGACTTCAAATACACAGTCACACTGGATAACAAACAATGCATCCATTTAAAATTTAAAACTGGAGGTAACATCAACGCTGTAGGATTCAGACTAGACAAGTGCATTCATGTCTCTATCCGTGTATCAAACCAATTTACCTGATATCAACCTGGCTGACAAGATAAATTTAAATCCATCAGTTAAACATATTGAGCAAAATCAGAACAAATCTTGGAATATATTTTCAGTGACCCCCCAAAAGATAACTCCCATACAAGCAATTTTTTGTTTTGCATTCAAATCTTTGAATATAGTTTTGAAAAATTGAATAAGGCAACCAGCTCATTTAGATATGGCACACGTTAAATCACATTAATAAATCACATTAATACATATGAACAGTAGGTTCAACCCATAATCAAATTGAGCTAGTAGAATGTTCTGATGACTAACTGTTTTATTATTATTACAAAGTGAAATGAAATAACTTTTCCAGAGAGACAACGTGCTTGTCCGAAGAGGCAGGTTAATTGGATCGCTATATCTATAAAAATAAACAGAAACAAAAAAGAAATGATATGAAAGACATTAGGCTGTGTTCATATCGTTGTTTTGTTAGTGCCGTGGAGTTGGTGCCTACTCATAGCGACCCTGTATAGGGTTTCTGAGGAGCAGCTGGTGAACTTGAACCACCAACCTTGTGGTTCAAAAAGACTTTGCAGTCCAACACATTAATCCCACAGCATCATGCTAGGGTTCCTGAGTACATGTTTCTACATATAGAGAGATTTCTTGGTGAGTGCCATCAAGTCAGTTTCAACCCATAGTGACCCTCCCTGTTTAGGATTTCCAAGGAGCAGCTGGTGAGCTTGAACCACCGACCTTGTGGTCCAAATGGACTTTGCGGCCCAGCACATTAACCCACAGGGCCACACCAGGACTCATACTGGCCAAGTTTTAATGGAGAACTGTGAACATTAGACTGCAGAATACTGTACTGAAGATCTGAGGAATAGCGGGACCAATCTCAAGAGCATTGAGCTTTATTTGTTGTCGTTAAGGGCAGTCAAGACAGTTGTAACTCAGAGTGGCCCTGTGTAGGGTTTCCAAGGCTGTAAATCTCTACAAGAGCAGTCAGTTGCCTCTCTTTCCAAGCATGCTGTAGTTTTCTAAGGGTGGTCGGAACAAACCAGCAAAAGCATCTTGATTTGAGGACGCGAGCTGGTGGAACACTTGCTGGAACACTTGCGTGACTAAAAGAGTGTTGAATTAACACTTTTGCCTCAAGGTCTGAATGCGTTTCCTCCATCAGTGTTTATTTGGCTTCTTCCATACATCTAATGAAATGCAGACCTGCACATGGAACATGCTGGACATACTTCAGCTGACGACTTCACAAAGGCTGTACGCACTAAAGTGCACACAGGTGTATGATCAAACGATGACCTTGTCCATTCTTTACTGCTTGGATGAGTTCCAAGGTGAACAAGCTTCAATACAAGCAATAATTAACCTGTCACCTGAGAAGCCCTGCCCCTGCCCTGCTCCCAATCACACACACAAGAGAATGAAGTTGTATCTTCCATGAGAATTCAGGCAAGAATTGTGGGCTCCCACTCTCCACAGGAAAAAGGACAGCACCCAGGACTTTTAAGTCTGAAAGGATCTTCCACTTCTACTTCAAATTCTTAAACTTATAAATAAGAAAACTAGAATTCAGAAAAGACTTCGCCAAGATGTCAGCCAGGATGAACATAAATTCAGGTGCCAGATTGTGGGGACAGGATTGATTCTCCTTCACTAAATCAATGGTCAGCTCGAATCAAAATAGATGTAAGTTTCTTTAATGACAAACCTCACCCCCTCTGATTACTTACGTTATGAAATATTCCTGTGTAAACTCATCATAAACTGACGTCACGTTGTTACCTGTCATGAAGCTAGATCCTCGTACGCAAAGGGATCTGATTTCTTTGATGGACTCCTGGTGTGGTGCTGTAAGATCAGCACTGAACTGTGATCCACAAGGTCAGAAGTTCAAATCCACCAGCTGTTCCTTGGAAATCTTATCCAGGGTCGCTATGAGTCGGAACTCACCTGATAGCACTTAACGACAACAGCATAGGGCTTTTATTGATTGATTTTTAGAAGTAGATCACCAGAACTTTCTTCCTCATCCATCTCAGTCTGGAAGCGCCAAAGAAATCTGTTCAGCGTCATACCAAAATGTAAGCCTCCACTGACAGGTCGTGGCTGCACATAGACACAGTGACCAGGAATCAAACCCAGGTCTCTTAATGGAAGGCTAGAACTCTACCACTGAACCAACAGAGATTCCAAAAGGGGGTCCCAGCCTGTAGGCAGAGGGGCTCTTCTTACTTGTTCCTGACAAGATCCAGTGTATTTTGAGTTTCTCTCTGCTATGAATGGGTCCCGGGGCGGGGCTGCGGCTTAAAGTGCTGGACTGCAAAGTTAGTTTGAACCACAAGGTCGGTGGTTTAGCTCACCAGATGCTCCTTGGAAACTTTATATAGGATCGTTTTGGGTCAGAACCGACTCAACAGCACTTAACAACAACAACAATGAAAGGAATGGAGTCCTGGTGTGGCACTGTAGGATGAGCACTGGATTGCTAACTGCAAGGTTGGCAATTCAAACCCACCAGCTGCTCCTCAGAAACCCTATACCATGTCGCTAAGAGTAGGAGCTGACGCAACAGGACTTACCAACAATGAGAGAAATGAGCTCAACATTTCAGAATCTATTAAAATTTCATCTAAGACTGAAGGTGAGGACTAGTACAATTACACTAAGGACATGGGAAGTAATATTCTAAAATAATGCAGCTTCTAGACAGTTGCTGTTAAGTGCCCTTGAGTTGGTTCCGATAGGGTTTCTGAGAAGCGGCTGGTGAGTTTGAACTGCTGACCTTGATGTTCAAACCGACCTTGCAGTCTAGCACATTCACCCACAGCACTACACCTTCTAGTAACAGACTGGGAACTCAGTACTCTAAGTGCTGGACTGGGAATCACAAGGTTGGCAGTCTGAGCCCACCAGCTTCTCATGGGAGAAAGATGAGGTTTTCTGCTCCTACAAAAATGTACAGCCTCAGAAACCTTGAACGGGGTCATTCTGAGTAAGAACCGACTCAAAGGCACTTAACGACAACAAGTCAACAGACAGAGCTCAATTCTAACTCAAAGCTCATGGCGCCATTTGTACTGAAGGTACCATTTGAACTTGATATTTTTTGTCTGTCTCCCACCCATTCATTTAAAGTAGATCAGTTAGTCTTCTGTCTTTCTGGTAAGGCAAGTAAGAATGTATTCCTCACTATCACTGCACGAACAACATAAATCAATAAAGAAACTGAGACAAATCTCAACACATCGTTGTGTTATTAGGTGCTGCCCAGTCTGTCCTAAGTCACAGTGACTTTATGGACAACAGAACTAAAACAAGCAAAAGTCCTGTACCATCCTCACCACTCTGGCTTCAGAGACACATTCTGGCTGCACTTCTTCCAAGACAGAATTGTTGGTTCTTCTGGCAGTCCAGGGCACACTACTCTTTGATAACACCAGATTCAAAGGCATCAGTTCTCCCTCAGTCTTCCTTATTTATTGTCCATGTGAGGTGACAGAAAATACCATGGCTTGGGTCAGGTGCACCTGAGTCCTCAAAGTGACATCTTTGCACTTTAACACTTGAAAGAGATGGTTTGAAGCAAATTTGCTCAAATTAATACAACATTTACGTTCTTGACTGCTGCTTCCGTAAGTATTGATTGTGGATCCAAGTAAAATGAAATCCCTGATAACTTCAAGCTTTTTCTCTTGTTCATGATGTTATTTATTGATCCAGTCTGAGGGTTTTCGTTTTCTTTATATTGAGGTGTAGTCCATACTGAGGGCTGTAGTCTTTGATCTTCATCAGTAAACTCTTCAAACTTTGTGTTGTGTGCATACTTCCGGTTGTTAATGAGTTTTCCTTCATACCTGATGCTCTGTTCTTCTGCATAGAGTTCAGCTCCTTGGATTATTTGTTCAGCATACAGACTGAATAAGGAGACCACCCTGACATACACCTTCCCTCTCCTTACATTGTTGTTGTTGTTAGGTACCATCGAGTCGACACCGACCCATAGTGACCTTATGCACAGCAGAACGAAACACTGCCCAATCCTGGGCCAACCTCACTATTGTTGCCACGCTTGAGTCCATCGATGCTGCCACTTGGCCAAACCATGGGGGGGGGGGGATTTCCTCTTTTCCTCTGACCTTCCACCTTACCAAACATGAATTCCTTCTCCAGCAACTGTTCCCTCCTGACAAATATGTCCAAAGTATGAGAGACGAAGTTTGGCCATCCTGGCCTCCAAGGAGCACTCTGGCTGCACTTCTTCCAAAACGGACCTATTGGTTCTTTTGACAGCCCCTGGCACTTTCAATATTCTCCTCCAGCACCATAACTCAAAAGCATCAATTTTTCTATGGTCTTCCTTATTCACTGTCCATCTTTTGCATGCATATTAGGTTATTGAAAATACATTAGACACAAAATAAATTTTTAAATGAACCCAAAAGACACAGACATACATGCACTACAATTGCATTTATTGTTATTTAAAACACACACACACACACACAAAAAAAAAAACCCTGCTTGTTTCCAAGATACTCTACCTGCTCTTCTTCTAGAAGAATCAACCCCACAATAGCAATGTTGATATTTCCTCCTATGGTTGCATCTTTGAATAAAGCAGACACCTAAAAATTCAGAGAAATCCAAATCAATTTCCACAAATAACAAGGTTTTTTCACAGCCTGTTAGTTGACTTGTGAAAGGCAATCACTTCTTTGTTGAGTGACGAACCCACATTAAAGTTCTTACATCGTTCAACAGACAGCTGTAGCAACATCTAACTATTGGCTGCTGTATCATTACCATTGGTGCATGAAGGCAAACGCTGGGAGTATCATGGAAGACAGCACCTTTGATCATAAAATACAATGAAAAGATAATGAGGTCTCTATGCTGGTGTCTGTGTTTACTCATGATGATGACTCTATGAACACAGCTCTCCCAGCAAGGGATTCTAGAAGCGTAAGAGAAATGCTTGGTTGAAGACCAATAGGATATAAGAACCATGGGGGAAATTGGCCAAGAAGATAGCCAATGAGAGACCCAACCAATAAGATGGAAGATGACAGAGAGATGAGTGATTAGAAGGCAGGTGCAAAGGCAGATTCTCTGATGCAATGGGATGCAACAGAGAGTCAATCCGGTCCCTAGACTGTAGAAGTATTGGAAACATTCTAGGGAACAGAGGTTGACATTTACTCCATCAGAGAAGCCTGCACCCTGTGACCGCCCACCACATGGCCATGCTCTCTTTCACGTGTACTCTTAGTTCCCGCGGACTGCATTAGACCCCCAGGCCAGTCTACTGAGGTCACTGCAACAGAGATCACGTGACACCCAGGACCCATGAAATCTACTCAAGGGCACACTCTGCATATTGAGGCACCCTTGTGGCCCATTGGTTAAGGGCTTGGTTGCTAACTGAAGGGTGGACGGTTTGAAGCCGCAGCCACTCTGCAGGAAAGATGCGACAGTATTCTTTTGAACCCTAGGGGGCCGTTCTCCTTGGTCCTACAGGGTTGCGATGAATCAGAAGTGACTCAGTGGTGACGAGCTTTGCAGGTTTTGTTTATTGATGTTATCCACCTGTTTATTGATGTTGTCTACCCCGTGGCTGCTGAGTCATTTGCAACTCGTGACAAACTCACATATGACAGACTGGAGCTGTGTTTCGTAGAGTTTTTTGGCTGATTTTCTGGTTTTTAGAAGTAAATCACCAAGTAATTTTTCCAAGGCACCTCTGAGTGGACCTGAATGACCCATCATCTGTCTTTTGGCAACTGGCACATTAACTGTACCACCCAGGCACTCCCTTATTGACACAGGAGAACATGAGAGATACTTTCAAAATACTGTCATTCAAACTACTTTTAAGAACACGCTTTGCTGAGCCATGGTTTTTGTTTCATGGAATCTAGATTTCACTTAACATCTTGTCATTGTGGGCCATCAAGTGGGTTCCGACTGTGACTATATGAAATGGGGTTTAATTTGTCTCTCACCTCTGTGCACTCATCGTTACAGCTGTTGGATTGAGACCGAAATACACCCTACCTGGTGTGGTATTTAATGGGGTGGGTGGGTGTGCTCTTTCTCTTTTCATAGAGAAAATCATTTATATTTAAATTTGGAACACTCCTTTTTGTAAATAGATGGGCATTTCGCTATGGCCACCTAAAATTGCACTCAGTATGCCAACAAACAGATTCTCTGTCTTACAAAGTCTTACAGATTTCTGGTAATGAGAGCACTATAACCCCCCAACGTCACATTTATGTAGGGGGCTCCAAAGGATTTCTCTTTCTTATAGTATTCTCTAAAACTGAAGCAATTACTACATGTTGCAGACTGTGAAGGCCTAGTCAGAGGTTCGAGGCCCTATAGGCCCGAGTGTAACAGATCTAGCCACCTGGCAGTTAATAACAAATTATTTTCCATGTTAGTGTCCAGTATGTTTTATTAATTGCAGACATGAAGCCCTTGATATACACAGATAAATGTAATATTTTCCTAAAAGTCAAGACTGTAAAATTCCAAACAGGCAAAGTTCTTCCCTCAGAGAATTCATTCAAAGTAAATTGGGTGGCTCCCCAGTCTCTGTTCCAAGGACAATAGGACACCCCCTCCCTAAAGTGTTTCCAGGTGTGCTGCCTATTCACCCAGGCACCTCTTTTCCTGAAGAACCTGGGCTGGGCAGCTGACACAATGCGAATCCTCCCGATCCTCCCTTTCCTCCCTCCATTTGAGGCTAGGTGCTAAAAGGTATGTTAATTAAGCTTGAGAAACCAAGTTGCGGGTGATGAGATTCGAACCTGCGAAGTATGATGTAAAGTTGCCTGAATGTCTGGAAAAGTAAGATTGACAGCTGTACCTTGTCTTAACCCCTCCTAACTTTGTGTAAAGTACCTCCCCTAAATAAAAGGAAGGCGCAGACCGAATCCAGGTGCAGTACGACTGGCAAGGTGTGCGTTACAGCATGCAGGGGGCACAGTCCAGCCTTGCAACCATACTGCCTGTTTAGCTAAGATGTTTACTATGCAGGATATTACGGCCTTCGTGGCTGGGATGTTTGCAATGCAGGATCTGCCTGATGCCAGTCCAGCATTCACTCTGGTTTCAGAGTGTCTCTTTGTCTCTTTCTGTGTATTCTTGCTATATCTCTATCGCCGTTAAGTATCTCCACCTTGTGAACTGAACCCCTATGTCGAGGCCAGTCCCCGACAACTACAGATGAAATGTATCATATATTCAACACAGATCCAAAAGTGAAAAATAAAATGTAAAAACCAAATTGCTATATTTAAAACCAAACAGAAGGCTTTGTCCTTGAGTCAATTCTGACCACAGTGTCTCTGTGTTTTACAAAGTAAAACAGATTCAGGGGGTTTTCTTGGCAGTAGTATTTATGGAAGCAAATCACCATGGTTTTCTTCTACTGCATGACTGGGTAGATTTGAACAGCCGACATTCTGGTTAGTAGCAGAGAGCAAACCATTTGCACCATCTATAATATATGCAATATGGTGTTGGAGGATAAAGTCATGGACCACAAGGTTGGTTTGTACAGCAAGGTTGGCAGTTCAATTCCACCAGTTGCTCTTCAGAAACTCTTCAGGTCTCTCTGAGTCAGAACCAATTCAGTGGCACTAAACAAAAACAATAGCATGGCATTATATAATGTAATGTGACATATGAAATATAATGTTCATTTATTTTGCATAATATATATATATAATGGGATCCTAGTGTGGCACTGTAAGGAGCTCTGGTAGCGTAGTGGTTACAAATCGGGCTGTGAACCACAAGGTCAGCAGTTCGAAACTACCAGTTATTCCGTGGGAGAAAGAGGAGGCTTTCTGCTCCAATAAAGATTTACAGCCTCGGAAACCCTGTACAGGGTCGCTATGAGTCAGAACCGACTCCACGGCACATAACAACAACAAGTGTGGCACTGTAAAATAAGCGCTGGGCTGCTAATTGCAAGGCTGATGGTTCAAACCCACCAGCAGCTCCTCAGACACTATATACTGTGTGGCTATGAGTCATAGTCAACTAGAAGGCACTTAACAACAACTATATATAATCATCATCAGCAAATGGAACAGTTGGCAGTTCAAAGCCATGAGGAGCCCCTGTCAGAGAAATACCTGACAATCTCCTCCCATGAAGATTATAGTCTATTCAATTCTGTTACACGGGGTCACTATGAGTTGGAATTGACTCAACAGAACACAACAACAAAAAACAAGATATAAGAGGATAAGTCAAAACAGATTGCTACAAAATCATGGAAACCTTTACTAAACAAAAATATCAAGATGTGAAGGTATTGTTACTCAACCTAGAGCTATACCTAGGACTCTATACTTCTGAAGGTGGTGTTTCCAAGTCTCCACCCCTTCCCTGAAGCGTTTCGTGCTTCTCAATTTACACCAAGAAACAGAAGTCTGAGGGGTGTGCACTGGATGGAATGAGTTTTCTTAATGAGATCCTCCTGGGACATTCCTTGCTACCCTTGAAGACTAAGCAGGTGCATTATTGGGATAGAAAACATCCCTCAGCCCAACTTTCTTTCATAGTCTTCTTCCCACTTAAAATTTCTTCATGACATTCCCAATGATCATCCTCTGTCCTTTGAGAAACTATACCAGCATTGCTCCTTTGGGATTCTCCCCAAACAGTCACCATAACCTTCTGAGCTGACCTCTCTCCTTGAATTGAACTAACCCAGCAGATCCCCTCAGAAGCCACTGTTGTGATTGGACCTTTGTGTTCTGAAGGCACCCTAAGGAGACAAGTGTATGATTAAGATGGCACAGGCATGATTAAACATGATTTGCTTAGAATAAACCCTTGCATGTATGAACAGGAACCCTACTAGCAATGTTTTTTTCACTTAGCTTTATATATATTATTATGACAACTACACTTTACATGTAATCATTTTACTCTCTGCCTCACATTTGTATTTTATTTGATTAAAAAAAAAACATTTTACTGTGGAGTCCTGGTGTGGTGCTGTGCATTCATGCACCAGGCTGCAAAGCCATTTGAACTGCCAGGTCGGCAGTTCAAGCTCACCAGCTGCTCCTTGGAAACCCTATACAGGGTCACTATGGATCAGAATCGACTTGAAGGCACTTGACAACAACAACAACAACTACAAATTGAGTGAAGGTTTATAGAGAAGATAGCATCGATATTATACTCCACAAGTAATGCACACTTTGTCTCCTTGGTTGGAATCTCCTCAGTGTAAAATCACTTCCTTCCTGTGACATCTATATTTTCCACGTCACCTATTAGAACAGGTGTGATGACACAGGTGGCCTTGAACATCCTACCATATTGAAGATCGTCAAGACGTAGGTTGTGATATTCTCATGACCGTGGTTCTCCATCATCTTCTTGTCAACTACCACCAATGTCTCCACATTCAGCTCTTCATTTCTATGGGATTTCAGAAGAGAGCGCTTATGCCGTACAGAAATCTTATATTCATCAGGAAAGATGAACAGGTCCTCACTGGGAGGCTTGGGCATGTCTGTAGGTGACACACAGAGAGCAAAGAAGAAGAAGTTTGCAAAAAACATCAAATGCTGTGTGACATTTGGTCTAGAAGTCAATGTTCATGATAAAAATCACTTAACCCTTAAGCCTATAGGATGCAAGACTTGTATTGAAGGAGAATATGCAATTTAGATGAAGTTAGTATAGTTGATGTACTGTTAGACAAATCTACAAGTCTTCTGCACAAGATCTCTTTAAAGTACTCAAAAGCAAAGATGTCACTTTGAGGATTAAGGTGCACCTGACCCAAGGTATTTCAATATTTCAATGATGGTATTTTCAATAGATGATGCTATTGCTGTGAATAAGGAAGATCGTAGAAGAACTGATAATTTGAGTTATGCTGTAGGAGAAGAATATTGAAAGTATCAGTGTACTGCCATTAGAACAAACAAATTTGTGTTGCAACAGACACAGCCACAATGCTCCTGATAAGCCAGGATAGTGAGACTTCTTTTCTTATACTTTGGACGTATTATCAGTAGGAACCAGTCTCTGGAGAAGGACATCCTGCTCGGTCAAGGGGAGGGTCAATGAAAAAGAGGAAGACCCCCAATGAGATCTATTGGCACAGTGGCAGCAACAATGGACTCAAGTTTGGTAATAAGTGTGAAAATGGTGCAGGACAGGGCAGTGTTTCATTCGGTTGAGCATAGGGTCGCTATGAATCAGACCAGATTGAATGGCACGTAACAACAACAGTATAGTCGAGGTGCCAAGGAAAACATTGCTGTAAGTTACCTTGATGCAATTTTGTCTGATTTCAAACAACAAGTGAGTAGGCTCTTGGATTTACTTACCTCTGGTAATGGTGGTAGTGGTTATATGCCATCGAGTTGGTTCCTACTCACAGCAATCCCATATAGGGGGCCCGAGGTTGTAAATCTTTATGGGAGCAGAAAGCTTCATCTTTCTCATATGGAACTGCTTACCGTGAGATGAGCAGCCCGACTCGTAACCACTACTCTACCAGAGCTCCTTTAAAGGAACAAAGTTCAAAGACTAGACACATATGGGTTTGGTCTTCCAAAGGGTGGTCAGAAAGCAACTGAACTTCCAAAGACAAAAAAGTCCTGTGTCATTTTTGGAGAATTTTGATGACTAACAGTTTGAAAGCTGCTTCCAATATCCAGACACATGATTGGTTTGTTTGAAATAGATTATAAACCTCTTGTGTACGCCATGGCAGAACTTAATATTTTAGGCAGTGTCATATGTATTAGTTCAATTTAATCAGAATGTCAAATAGACTCTCTCTTCTTAGACTAAGCCATTTACAGGTATTTTTGACATTTATAATGATTAATGCAACAATATATGTTAGAAGCAATTAGGTGCAGTGTATGACCTAGAAAATACGGTTAGAATGGCTTCGTGGGAATGTACATTTCAAAATGCCCAAATATTTAGGTGTGAAGCGTCACAAAACTTCGCAAACTGTAGTTGTGGAATACTGTTGTTGTTGTTGTTGTGTGCCATGGAACACTAGGAGGTTTCAAATAGTTCATGAAAAATACACCATTATTTTTAATCATATTTTTCCCATAACTTTTGAAGCCTCAAACCCCCCCCCCCCGACATCACACTGTTAACCAGTTGCCGTGGAGTTGATTTTGATTCATGGCAAGACCATGTGATTTAGAGGAGTCCCAGTGTGGCGCTGTGGGTTAATGCGCCAGACTGCAAACCATTTGAATTGCAAGGTCGGTGGTTCAAGCTCACCAGCTGCTCATCAGAAACCCTATTCAGGGTCACTATGGGTTGGAACCAACTCGACAGGACTTACAACAACCATAAAAGTTTCTAAATGGCTGAGTTCTTGGGAGCCCATCACTCGGTCTTTCTTCTAAGGCTCCTATGGGTGGACGCAAACTATTAACCTTTCAGTTAGCAGCCAAGTGAACAAATCATTTACACCACTCAGGGAGTCTAAACACACTTCTAAACCAATCCAACCAAACCCACTGCCATCAAGTTCATTCCACCTCATTATGTACCCTGCATAGGCCAGAAGAGAACAGTTTCTTAGGGTTTCCGCGACTGTAAACCTTCACGGGAGCAGATAGCTCTATCTCCCATGGAGTAGTTCATGGGTTCCAACTGCTGACCTTACAATTAGCAGCACACATATTGTTCCACAATGTCAACAAGCAGATGCTGCTTGTTGGCCTGTTAACCATATCTATCTCTCATGTCCATTTTATTTCTGTCTGCTAAAACACTTCCAAACCTAAGTGAACCCTCCGGAGGGTCTGAATTACACTGGTGTGGCACTGTGGGCTAATGCATCAGATTGCAAAGTTGTTTGAACCGCAAGGTCGCTGGTTCAAGCTCACCAGCTGCTCCTCAGAAACCCTATACAGGGTCGCTATGGGCTGAAACCAACTCAATGGCACTTGACAACAACAAATGACACTCGCAACGTACCCTCCTCTGTTTAGAGGTTGTGGATACATAAGAGTGGACCCTGCAAAGCTGACAGTGATAGTCGGGAGGAGGGCTCACTGGGTGGGAAGTCAAGTCAGGTGCTGAGGAGAAATTCCAGTAAATGCTCCGCTCCCATTACTGATATTGTGAGCATTTCTTACCATAACTGTAAATAATAAATAACCCCCTAAATGCTCTTTTTTATTTTTAAACAAAAAAACTACATAGATAAAACTTTGGGGATAAATTGTAGGTCAGTGGTACCAAGCATAAGCTGTCCTTTCTGATGTGGTGAAGCCTAATCTATATATTAAGATGACCTCAGCGGGGAAACGATGCGAACAACACTAAAGCTAACCCTTCACTAGATGGCATGACTGGGTAGGTCATTAGGGGTCTTTGGAAGACCTACGGCAGACCCGTCACTTCTGGGCACTCTGTCATTTATCTAGCCAAGGAACAGAGACCTTCAAAAAATATCAGGAACGGTAACCAAACAAAGAACTATTTTACACTGGGCCCTCTTTGGGATCACTGTTTAAACATCACCACATGTAAATACATTTTACCACGTGAGAAGAACATTTATGATATTTCACTGATTTACTTAAATGGAAAACACAAAAACAACAAATGACCTTCTTGCTGTGTGGTCATCTGGACCCCTGGTGCCCCAGGAATTACAGAGTAGAACTGAGTTCCACAGGGCTGTCTTCTTTGTCACCTTTATGGAAGTCTTTCTTCTCAGACACCAGTGAACGGCTTTGAAGCCTTAAGGTTAGCCACCGATCACACACTGCTTGTGACCCCCCAGCCTCCCACATAAAAGACACAATCATTAAAGAAAAAGGAGGAGGAGTCATCCTTACATACATTTCTTGCGTCTCCCACAGAAATGCTGTTTGTTTGAGTGCTTGAGGTTTGAGCCACTATGAAGGTGGTGACTGGCAGGGTGAATGCGGTGGTGATTTTCTCGTTTCCATCTCCTCTCCATCATCATGATCTCGTTGCCCCTCTGCCTGAGAGGCTCCGTGGATCTCTTATACAGGATGTGGGGGTGATGGTTACCCTGGGCAGAGCTGTTGAGCTTCCCCATCATGTATGAAGGAAGTGGCTTCAAGAAGTAATCTGCCTCTTGGGTTCGTATCATGCCTGACTGAAAAGAAAACATACACACAATGAAGCAGAATGAAATCAAAGTTAGACTTTCAAACTGGACACAGGGCCAGTTCTCTAAGCAATACATTTAAAAAGTATTCTCTACCAAACATGTTCTCGTGGAATCCTGGTGGGTGCACTGAGGTCAACATTGGAAAGGTATAGTGGTTTGGGCCCACTAGCTGCTCTTGGGAAGAAAGCTCATACAGTCCATTACTGTAAAGATGACAGCCTCTGAACCTCATCAGCCAGCTCTGCTCTGTTCTCAGGGTCAGTAGAGAATCTGGTTGTTAGCAGTGGGTTTTTTCTTAGCTATGTAATGTTCTCTTCTCCCTCGAGGGGGATCATAAGTTGAAAGGGTTAAACAAACTAACTTGGTTAAGAACTGTGTTGTTGTTGTTAAGTATCTTCGAGTTGGTTCCAACCCACAGTGACCCTGTATAGGGTTTCTGAGGAGCGACTGGTGAGCTTGAACCACCAGCCTTGCAGTTCAAATGGCTTTGCAATATGGTGCATGAACCCTCAGCACCACACCAGGACTCCTGGTTAAGAACTAGGGAAGGGAAAATCTCCCCAGCATGTATCTTACACCTTTATTCCCTCCTGTGAGATTCTAGAAACAGAAACAGGGCTCAGGAACACCCTGACAGCCATTAAAGTCAATGGTAAAACTGGAGAAACCTGGGTAAATAAACTGAGATATTAGCATAAGACTGGGATTGCAGAGAAAGAGGTAAAATTAGGAGAATCCTAAGAGGAAAGTTTGCAAACCAATGTTCAAATGAATAAAATAAAAAACAGAAACTCAAAAGGTTGGCTAGGAAGCTTGTGGGGAAAGCGAGTTTAGGATGGTGGTGGTGGACTCATTTGGAAAACGTTAACAAGACTGATAACAAAATTGGACAATGTAATCAATGGCATGTGAAAATTGTAGAAATGGGGTATCATGACAGAATATACTGTCTCTAAAATCAGCAAACAAACCCCCAAACAACAAAAAAACCCACAACAAAATCTGACATAATCTAGAATAACATAGCCCATAAATACATATTCTATATCCTACGTTGCTAAGTAGGGACTGGCATTGAAAAGCTCCTGAACAGCTATCTAAGGTGCAGCTGTTGGTCTCTTCTTGTTCAGAAGAGAGAAGAGTAATGAAAATTAAGTTACTTAGAAATAATTAGTCCAATGGGCCATGTCAACATCAGTGCCCATGACCCTGAGATCAGAACTAGATGGGGCGTGGCTAACCACTGCCAACTGCTATGAAAGGGATTGCATTAGAAGGTTCTGGATGCGGGTGGGGTGGGTAATGTGGAACAAAACTCAAAATCATGAAAAAGATCAGGCTTACTGGTCAGATAGACACTGGTGGACCACTGAGACTGTGTTATTTGGTGACTCTTCAGGTCTGGAACGGAACTCACCCCTATAACTCAATCTTTAACAAAGCAATACATAGGCATACAGGGAGACCAACAATAGTGAGGTATGCACACCGGAGAAATCATCAGACGTTTGAGATCGAAAGGGAAGCAATTACTTAAGGACACAATTCAGAAGGGTGGGGAAGGAAGGAGGGATGGAAACAGGGACAGGGAGGAGGAACTGGGAGGTTTCATTGATGGGACTGCAATCATTGAAATGAAATGAAGTGTATGGTTTGTGAAATGTAAAATTGATGATCTGCTCTGTAAATCTTTACTCAATTCACAATATATATATATATACACACACACACACACACACAATCATATATATTGTTGTTAAGTGCCGTCAAGTTAGTTCCAACCCATAGCCTCCCTCTATAGAGTTTCTGAGGAGTGGCTGGTGAGCTTGAACTGTTGACTTTGCAGTTCAAACTGATCTCGTGGTTTAAACCAACTGAC